AAAAGAATACTTAGAAATAAAAGATGAATGAAGTGAAATATCATATATTGAACAATACTATAATCAAGAAGTATATATAAGTGAAACAGATGATGAATCAGGATCTGAATAGAGAAATTGAAGAAATAGAAAGTAATAACATAAATATACAAGAATATGAAGGACTAGAAGAATATGGATTAAAAGTCACTTTTGATAACAAGAAGTTTAGAAAATTGCAAAAATTATCGTTAGATTTAAAAAAAAAGGAAAATGGGAAGTCTTTGATAGAATTTGGAAAAGAGAAAGAATAGCAATAAATGAATATCACAAAATAGAAAAAATCATAGATGTAAGAACGACTTATGGGCAACATAAATTAAACCTTTTAACAAAAAATATAGCTGAAAAACTATTAACAAAGATTAGTAAAAAACAAAGTGAAAAAATTCAATATGTTTATTTAGCAGGAAGACAAATAATGTTTAAGTCACTATTTAGAGAAGAGATAGATTCACCCTTAACTATAACTTTACATGATGGAAGAATAATAAATTTAAAATATAGTCATTTAGGAACGATAGAAGGAAATTTAGTATATCAAAAAATTATGTTTACATTTTATCCAAAATATTGTGTACCATTAAAAGATATATATTTTAATGAAGTTTTAGGATTACATTTTAAACTTCATAAAGATGATATCATGCAACCAAGTGATCAAATTATGACTATAAAATATAGAGTTTTATATACATTTATTAATTCTAATTATGGGAATATTTATTCCAATAAACCATATATTGAAGTTCATAAAGAATGTAAAGATATTAGTAAAATAATAGAACCAAATAAACAAATAAGTTTAATTCCAAAAGAATATGAATTTAGTATAACAAAAAATAAACCTGAAACAACAGAATTAAATGAAGGAGAATGTTCTAATAATGTTATATTTTAGGATGGAAAATTAATTAAAAGATCAAAAAGTTTTAAAATACCTAAAAAAAACCAGTTAGCAGAAATTAACAAAATAAAAGAAGTAAAACTGTATAGAAATGCTGAAAATATGAAAATAGAAGAAGAATATTATAATGAAAGAAAACATATAAACGAACCAAACATATTAATAGATACAAGAGTTAGTGAATGTCATATAATTTCAATTAGAAATAAAGGTCTAATGACTCATAAAACTGAGCCATATAAGTATGTGAATTTTGATGGATAAGTACGTATTATTGATTTAGAAGTTAAGGTACCAATAAAAATAGGAGGAATAGATCTTTTAGTACCATGTTACATAGATAAGAGTAAGGATATAAATCACCATATACTTTTAGGAATGAGTTTTCTAAATGGATTAGAAGATTATAGTATAAAAAGAGAAGAATTATAAATTGTTCATAATGGACAAACTACATTATGTAAAAAGAATTAGATGAATAATCAGATAAGTTTTTCATTAGCTGTGTATATACAAATTACTATTGTAGAAACAAATATAACAACTTGTGCTTTACTAGATACAGGAAGTGATATAACAATATTTAAAAGTTTTTAAATAAAATTATGGAATAATAATAGTAATATAAAAATAACCGGAGTTACAGGAGAAAGTACTTAAATAATTAATAGTGCTGACAAAGTTAATATAATTCTTGGAAGTAAACAAGTAACAATAAATAAAATTTATAAATATGATAAATTAGAATGTGATATATTATTAGGAAATGACTTCATACAACAATTTCAATATTATAAATAAAATAATTATATGATAATGCTACAAACACTTTGTGGACACTTATTAAAAATTTCTAGAGAATTTAAACCTTATAGAGTTCAGTCAGCCCAGCGTGGTGATAAATGGGAAAAAAGCCAATTATATATAATGAAATAAAAAATAATAAAAGAATATTATATAAAAAGGTTCTAAAAACAGGAAAGAAATGAAATATAGAAAAAATCATTGAACAACTAGAATGTTATAATAAGAGTTAGACTAATGATGTATACTATAGAAGATACACAAGAATTTAAAAATCAGATAAAAGAATTGTTAGAACAAAAACTTATTAGACCTAGTAATGGACCTTATAGTAGTCTAGCATTTATGGTTATGAAACATTTTGAACAAGTTAGAGGAAAAGCTAGGATGGTCATAAATTATAAAGAATTAAACAAATATACTAAATTTGATGGTTACTTTCTACCAAATAAAGAAGTGTTAATAAATTTTGCAAGAAGAAAACAATATTATTCTAAATTTGATTGTAAATCAGGATTTTGACAAATAAAAATGGAAGAAGATAGTATACAATATATTGCATTTAGCATACCTCAAGGAAAATATAAATGGTTTGTTATGCCATTTGGTATAAAAAATGAATCACAAATATATCAAAAAAATGGATAATATATTTAAAAAGTTTAATGAATTTCTAATTGTTTATATAGATAATATATTAATATGTTCTAATAATAAAGAAGAATATAGAAATCATTTAATCCAATTTATTAGGGAATGTAAAAAAGAAAGAATTGTACAATCTAAAAAGAAATCTATAATAGACAAATCAGAGATAGACTTTATTGGATTATCAATAGATAAAAGAGAAATAAAATTACAAACTCATATATCCAAAAAGATAGAAAGTTTTCCATATAAATTAGAATCCAAAGAACAAATATAAATTTTTTTAGGATGTTTAAATTATGCAGAAGGATCTTTCTAAGAAAAGACATAAAATCCAAGTTTTACTTAGAAAAATAAATACTAAAGGATGGAATGAAGAACATATAGAAATAGTTAAATCATTAAAAGAAGAATGCAAAAATTTACCAAAATTAAGATTACCAGATGAAAAAAATAATTTGATTGTTAATACAGATGCCTCAGATAAATATTAGACAACAGTATTAAAAACAGATCTAAATGAAATTTGTAGATATTCAAGTGAAATTTTTAATCAAGCAGAAATAAATTATATTACTCATGAGAAAGAATTATTAGCAATTATTAGAGAAATAAAGAAGTTCTCATTATTTGTATTATCCAAAAAATTTACTGTTGAGACTGATAATTTTCAAGTTGCAGGATTAGTCAGGAATAAACTACCATCAGAATCTCAATACAGAAGGCTCCATAGATGACAAGCTTATTTAGCATTTTATAATTTTGATATAGTCCATATTAAAGGAGTTAATAATTTTCTTGCAGAAACATAGAATTTGCTGATGGATAAAGCCAATGTCATGGAATTATACCAATCTATCCTACATACACAAAAAAGGACAGATTTAATTATTAAACTTTTGCTAAAATTAGAATGAATCTTTTTAAGATCTTAAAGAATCGTAGGGATTAATTGATGATTATGAATAAATGTCAAGATATACAATTGAAATATTAGATAATCTATTAGAAAAAATAAAGAATATTATCTCTCAATTAGAAAATGTAAATTTACCATTTGAAGAATATAGCATTTTAATTAGAAAATATGAAATATATGTTGCAGATTATTCTTATTTATTAGATTATAGAATAGATTTATGTTCAAATATTCAAAGTAGAAGGTGAAATGTTTAAAAGATTAGGATATATGTTGCAATATAGAAAGAATAATTTCATTAAGGGTAATATAGACATTTCAACAAAAAGGATAGTGATAGGCCAAATAGAAAAATCTCCCCTTCAAACATTCCAACAACTATTATTTCGTATCCAGTAAATGCAATAATCAATTTTCATCCATTTAACCACTTTCAACATAGTGTGTATCATATTTGTGAACCATCCTTATAATTAGTATAAGGGCTTTCTACATTCTCATATTCATAGGAAATTTTTCTATAACTTCTAAGGTATAAAGAATGTAACTTGTAAAATAGATTATCCACAATTCCTTAATTAAGAATGTATTCTATGAGTCGTAATGCAACCCCCACAAATCTTGGGTTAGGTTCAGACTTAGAGTTCATTAACTCTTTTAAAAGTTTGATCTATTAGATAGACAATATCCATTTCATATATTCCACATCACAAAATGATTAGGAATGTCAATGTCTTGTGAAAGTCTATGTACTTCCACATTTAAAATTGTCAATTAACGAAATGACCAATCTCCTTTTCTCTTTTTCAAAGTGTTTAAAAACACTTTTATAGTTTCAAGAAAAAATTTGTCTACTTACGGGATAGACCATATACATTATTTCTTTTATCCCATGTTTAAACCAACCACAGTAGTTTCCAATTGATGCAATTACCAAAAGCCTTTTAGAATATATGGAACTATCAGTTGTTGCCAATTGATGCAATTACCAACCATAGGGTTATTAGGTATGTGGCTAGTCGACAAGAGGTTTTGTCTAGGGAACACACTATAGTTTGAGGGTCTCTAAAATTCTACAATACTTTGTTGTGTAATTGAATAGAGGAACTGCAAAATGTTTTCTGTTATCTATTCATTGAAATTCAAAGGTATATATATACATACAATCTCTCTAATTAAGGTACGTTAATCTGTCTAATTAAGGAGTAGCTAATTATGCTAATTAGCAACTGTAATTATGCTAATTAGCTACTATAATTAAGCTAATTAGCAACTAATTAGCTCCTAATGTCAGTTATTCTTTAATACTTCCCCTCAAGCTGGAGCGTAGATATTAATCATGTCCAACTCGTTACAAAGATACTCAATCCTAGTCCCATTTAATGCCTTTTCCCCAAGTTGCTCTCCAATCTTCACATAACCAATAGAGATTACATTTTCCTGGATTTTCTCATGAATGAAATAACAGTTGATCTCAATGTGTTTAATTCTTTCATGGTGTACGGGATTTGAGGCAATATGAAGAGCAACATGGTTGTCACACCAGCGTTTTGCTAGTACCAAAAGCTTCATTCCAATTTTAGCTAGATGTTTTATCCATAAAATTTTGCATGTGGCCTGTGCCATGGCTCCGTACTCTGATTCTGCGCTGGATCTGAATACGACATTTTGTTTCTTGCTCGTCTAGGACACAAGGTTTCCACCAACAAAGACACAATATCCTGTAGTGGACCTTCTATCAATTTTGGATCCAGCCCAATCAGCATCTGCAAATCCCTTAATGCAAGTGTGTCTGTGATTGCTATATACTATACGAAGACTACGAGCTCTTTTCAAGTAACACAATATATGTTCCAAAGTTGTCCAATGTTTTATTGTAGACGTAGACATTAATTGGTTGACAACATTGACAGCATAAGCAATATCTGGACGGGTCACTGTAAGATAGTTTAGTTTCCCAACTAATCTTATGTAATTTTCAGGATCATCAAAGGGATCACCATCATCTTTTGTAAAATGTACATTGGAAACCATTGGTTGTTGCATAACTTGGCCCCCATCTTTCCGGTTTCGGCCAGAAAATCAAGTACATATTTTCTTTGAGATAAGAAAATCCCTTTTCTGTTTCTTGTTGCTTCCATTTCCAAAAAATATTTTAGTTGATCCAAGTCTTTTGTGTGAAATCTGGTATGTAAAAATAACTTGAGAGAGGAGATTCCTGCACAATCATCTCTTGTAATGATAATGTCTTCGACATAAACAACAAGAAGAATAATACCAACTACTGATTGTCTATAGAAGACTGAGCGATCACACTTGTTCTTCTTTAGCCCAATCTCTTAAGCTACCTCACTGAACTTGCCAAACCAGGCACGAGGACTCTATTTTAGACCATACAGAGATTTCTTCAGATGATAAACTTTTCCATACTCTCCCTTAGAAGTAAGTTTGGTCACTGGAGAGAAGGTATCTAAATAATCCACTCCATAGGTCTGGGCATGTCCTTTTGCAACAAGTCTGGCTTTCAGACTTGCCACAGAGCCATTTGGATTAACCTTGATAGCAAAAATCCATTTGCATCCCGCAACTTTCTTGCCTTTAGGTAGATCTACCAACTCCCATGTGTGATTTTTATCTAGAGCATATATCTCCTCAAGCATTGCACTATGCCTTCCAAGATGACCCAAGGGTTCTTTTACTGTTTTGGGCATAGAGACTGAATCTAAAATGGCAATTAAAGAACTAGACGTAGAAGAAAAACGATCATATGAAATAAGGTTAGCCATGGGATAAATAGATTTAAGGAGAGTGCACTGGCGTTTACCTTTGCGAAGGCTAATGGGAAGGTCGAGGTCATTTGGAGGATCAGATGACAAAGTAGCCGATGCAGGACATGGATCATTGTTCTCTTGCCTTCTGGAGTAAACGTGGATAATATGTGGCTTTACTTGAGTAGGAGATTGCTCCTTATAGGTGTCGGGAGATGTAAGAGAAACACCATCATTTGATTGCCTAGTAGGAGTACTTGGATGTGCGATTTGGTAGATTAGCTACTCATCTTTCTTTCCCTGACTTGTAGGGACGGAGGGAGAAGAAAAGAATGGTGTATTTTTCGAAAAGATCACATCAGTAGAATCTAGACATTTATGGAGATCTGGTGAGTAGAATCGATACTCTTTTTGAAGACGAGAATATCCCAGAAAAGTGCACTTTAAGCCTTTTGGATCCAATTTAGTAACGGATGGCCTTACATCATGAACATAACAGGTGCTTCCAAATACCCGTGGTTCCACTGGGAATAATGACTTGTTTGAAAATAGAAAACTGCATGGAATATCTCCATTAAGTACTGTGGATGGCATGCGATTAATCAGAATGCAAGTTGTAGAGATGGCATCAGACAGAACTACCTAGGAACCTTCGTTTGAAACAAAAGGGCTCTAGTTGTTTCAAGTAGATAGCTATTATTTCTATTAGCAATTTCATTTTGAGGAGTACCAATATAGGAGGATTGGTGAAGAATCCCATGTTGAGTCATATAATTCCTGAATGAGTCTGACATGTATTTTTTAGCATTGTCACTTCTTAGCATATGCATAGAAGTATTAAATTGAGTTTTAATTTTAGCATAAAAGGCACAAAAATGAGAGAACACTTCAGATTGATTTTTCATAAAGTAAATCCATGTCATTCGAGAAAAATCATCCACAAAAGTAATAAAGTATCTAAACCCAATTTTGGACACAACAAGACATGGTCCCCAAACATCAGAATGAACCAACTCAAAAGCAAACTCAGCTCGTTTATTAATTCTCAGAGCTAACGACCTGCGGTGATGTTTTGCAAAGTGACATGACTCACAATCTAATAAAGATACATGGTAGAACTGAGGGCATATTTTCTTCAATGTAGATAGAATGGATGTCCCAACTGACAATGTGCTATAACTAGGGAGATTATACAGGAACAAGCAACATATCGAGGCACCGATGTATCAAGAATATAAAGACCATCAGATACATGTCCTTTACCAATAATCTGCTTCGTGATGAGATCCTGTCATGTGATCTGTGGCACCTAAATCAATCACCCATTTGTTTGAAAAGGAGATAAGACATGTTTTACTTGACTCAGCAAGGGTAGTAACTGAAGTGGATTCCTTCAGTGATTCTTGATACTGAGAAAATTTAGTATACTCATCAGCTGATATCATAACTGTTTTATCAGAATATGAAGTAGGAGCGTAGCAACATTAGCAGTCTAAGTTCTCTGATTGCTATTCTGCAATTTCTTATAGTATGGCTTGGTGTGGCCTGGCTCATGGCAGTAGTAGCACACAACGCTGTTTGAATCATTGTTATGATTATCAACTATCTTGTTTCCTCTTCCCTTGTTGTTAGCTCTCCTCCCATAGTCATTTTCTACTCTGGGAACAAGAACATTATGTTGCTGAATAGGTGATGTATTTTCAGTGCGCAAAACTCTACTAAAGACATCTTGTAGAGAGGAAATTTTAGAGCTAGGGAAAATTTGAGATTTGGAAGTCTCGAATTCGAAAGGAAGACCAGCCAAGAATCTCATAACAGCTATTTGCTCCCTTTGAATTTGCTGTATTTTGACATCAGTACTGAATGGCATTAGCATATTAAGCTCTTCATAAAACAAGTTATGAGAGACTGGGCTTCCTTTTCAGTAGGATAAAAAGTCTTGCAAGCTTCATAAATTTGCGACACATTTCCTTTGCCAGAATATAAAAAATCTAGATAATCTATTAATTCTTTTACAAATTCACAGTGATTAATTAAGCCAATTACCTCATTATTGATAGAATTTTTGATTTATAGAAAGAGTCTTACATCTTCTCTCAGCAAGCTTTATTAGTATCATCTTTAGGCGGATCCTTAGTTAAGGGATCATCTTTTTCTATGCTCCGTAAATAGATTCTAATTGTCTTACTTCATTCCATATAATTAGTGCCATTCAATTTATGTTCAGTGATTTTTTACATTATTGGAATCATCTCACTCACGGATCCCTTGAACTCAGCCATTGTCCAATTCTCCAATAATAGACAGATTTCAAAAACAACAAGTAATTCAACCCAAACAAAAGCCCACAGACAAATGAAAGGCCTACAAATAATCCAACAAAAGTCCACCATCAATCCAACAGAAGAGGCCTACCAATAATTCACCAGGTCCAAAAAGCCCAAAATAAAGGACCAAAATTATCCAGTCAACCCCAGACACACAGTGTAATTAACCAGGCCATGGACAAAATCATGATCCACAAAGCCTAGAAATGGAAAAATACCTTAAGCCAACGTCGTTCAGTCACCAGGGTATCGGGATAAGGCCGAAAATGAGCAGTCCCTCTTCGCGCTCATCACGTTCCACTACTAATCGGAATTTCTGCGCCTGGAGTCCAGCGACCAAACTTTTAGAAATCTCCGGTCAGAAAGTTGTGCATCTCTCCAGAGCTGGTCCTGTGTTTAATAGGTCCTGAGGCGAACGATGAAAATTAGGCCCCCCAGCGACAAAATTCAAAGGTATATTATGCGACTCATTGCTAACTTAAAAAACTAACATTAAAACAACAACAAAATATATCATAGAAATGATTTATATTATAAACTATCAAACCAAAAATTTCAAACAATTAGTTAAATACTATTCGTCTTGCTGTTTTAGAGGCTAAAATATCAATCAAATCTGAATAACTTAGCTGCTCAACCATTTCTTTTTCTATTGATAACATAGCCAACCCGTTTAATCTTTCTTGTGACATAGTTGATCGGAGATAGGTCTCGATCAACTTCAATTTTGAGAAACTTCTTTCCACAGATTCAACTGTAACCGATACGATTAACAAAATTTTGTAAGCAATATAAGCATTTGGGAAACAAACATCCAATGTCTTCAAATAGTGTAGCACTTCAATTGCTTTTGTTGCTTCATTTGGTAAATAAATCTTCAAGACTTGTAACTCTGAACATAAATCATCTCCACTGATGTCCGAAAGCCCATCATGTTTAAGATATAACTCAAGATTCATACAAGAGTTCAACAAACTTGATAAAATTACACTCCTTAACCTCTTTAAATTAAACAAAAATCCAAATATATCATCATATTGTTTGAATTGTTCAAATCAAGTCCTCAGAGAAGACAAAGCTTGATTAATTATAAAAATAAAGTACTCAACTCTAAATGATTCTTCTGCAGATTGCTTTACCTCATTACTACAGTTTTCATCAAATTGCTTTTTTCTTCGAATTATGCATTTTTCTGTAAATACAGTTTCAATTCCCATTTCGCTTGCCTTTTTTGTCGCTTCATCCATGGCAATGGCAAATCCAATTTCTCTATAATCTTCAAGAAATGAAACAAGTCCTTGCAATAGTTCGATAGCGTGATTAATATCCATGGATTCGGTTTGAAGAAATTTACTCACAATATTGATTGCATGCAACAACCTGTATCAGATTACCATATCAAGCAAGAACACAAAATTCTGAAGTTCACGTGTTGCCAACGACTCGGCTTCATTCTTTACTTTAGGATCTTCGTTAGTTTCTGCCAAATCAAGTAATGCTTCTCTTATCTGTGTAGTTTGCTCCATTATAGGCTTCACACTCTCAACATGGCTTTCCCAACGTGTTTGTGACAATGGCTTCACTGTTAACCCTTTTACATTATCTTTAAAAATTTGTCATCGCTTGGTAAAAGATGAAAATAAAGTGTAGATGCGTTGTATCACTCCAAAGAAGGATACAACTTTGGAACAACAATTCACCATATCACATAACGCTAGATCTAGACTATGACCGCCACATGGAGTATAAAAAGCTCGGGGATTTATTTCATGTACTCTTCTTTGCACACCTTTGTACTTCCCACTCATGTTAGATCCATTATCATACCCTTGCCCTCTAATGTCATCAATATCCAGATCAAGTTTGATCAAAGCCTTTTGAAGCTTGGTTGTAAGTCCAAGTCCCGTTGTGTCATCTACTTTCAAAAATTCAAGCCAAT